TATCCACAAATGCACTAAAAAAAATTAAAAAATTACCCTCAAATCCACTCAAATCCATTCAAATCATTTCCCCGAAATCACTACAAAAGAACAAAGCATAAATGCGCATTTTTATAAATCATGTAGTTGCATCTTACTTTAATTGAAATTAAAGCTTTTTCTACTAAATGATTCTTTATCAAAAGCAAGCTTTAACAAAACACTATAGCAAACTCTTTTTCAACAACTGAAAGACACTTACAGAAAGAATTGTTTGTTTAAACTAATGTTTGAAGTCGAGTGATTAATAAGTTATGTAATACCTTTACATCTTCAATGAAAGAGCTATATTGATTTGTGAAAAAGTTTTCCAATAACACTATTCAACCCTCCGTTCTAGTATTTTTCCAAGTATTTCCAATATTAGTCCTAAGTCCTACAATTTCTCGGATCTTATAGTGTCGTATTAATTTGTGTCGTGCTAGGTTTTGTTTTGCCAGGATGAGTTTATCTTGACTGGGTTGTGTTGTCTTTTGGATGGGTTGGGTTGGTCTTGGTTGGGTATGTGTTGTCTTTTGGACAGATTGGATTGATCTTGGTTGTGTTAGTTTTGATCGAACTCGATTGTTTTTGTCTGAGATTTTTTGGACCTCAGATAAAAGGTTTTGGAAGTCGACATTGATGTTTAGAGGTCAACCACAAGGTTTTTTACCTTCGTCGAGTTGTTTGGACCGTGTGTGGTTTTGGTCGTATTGTTCTATTCCTTTGCTGAGTTGTGTATGTTGGCTGTCGAGTTATGTTTTAACTTGGCTAGATTGTATGTTATTGGTTGAATTGTTTGATGTGATAAAGTGTTGTCAGATTAGTTGGTATTGGAAGATGGGATTGCGTGACAGCTTGTCGGTTCAATTGGTGCTAAGAGATGAGTTTATTTGTTATGTCTTGTACGTAACTCCAAAGCTAGGTTTTGATAATTTTCACTTTGATGGCTTTCGTAAGCAAGGGAAAAGGGGAGGTTGTTTTGCTTGTAAGGCTTTGGCATAAGCTGAGTATAATATTCTTTAGGGTTTTAACTCATAAGACTTTTGGGAAGTAGGGGAGACGGGTCCTGTCCGTAAAACTTCATACTTAAGTAGAGTTTTACTCGTAAGACTTATTTTGAAAGAAGACAAGATGACAATATGTTATTGAGGAATGACATGTGGTTTGGTTTCATGACTTGGTGTTTCATGAATGTGGTTTTGGCCTCATGGGTTGATTTGAGCAATGTAGGTAAGTAAGGTGATTGAATATTCATCATGTTTTTTTTTGTTAGCTCACCCTTTGTCAACACCCAATTTTGTCCGGGTAAGTTAATAAAAATAAAACTTAAAAATAAAGGTAAAAACAAAAATAAGAGAATAATAATTAATGGTGGGTAAAGAAAAAAAATGAAAAAAATAATAAAATATTTTTCCTTAATGTTGGACACATCATTAGAAAATATTTTTGAAATATTAGTTTGATATGGTAATAATTTGAATCAATATTATGCCAAAAATTATAAGTAGTAATTAAAATAATATATTGATATAATTTGTTGCGTCAGTTTCTTTTTAAAGAGAAAAATATGATTTTTGAAATGGAAAAATTTTCTAACAATAATTATAATCAATGTATTGAATATTATTTGATTTGTTTTTCTTGCAACCAAGATCGTTTCTTTCCCTTTTTTCTTCATAGTCAATTAATTCATAATTAGGGCATGATTACCATAATATTACAAGGTGTGTATATAAATACGCATCCTGTCATAGAAGAGAGGGACGAAAAAAAAGAGAGAGGGACGTGCAGAAATAATAGAAACAGAAAGAGAGAAATAGAGGAAAATAAGTTCTCACACATAAGGGTTTTATCAACGGCAGTCACCAAGGAAGAACTAGGGGAGTACCGAAAGCTAAAAAGGTACGTCACCTCTACACCTTTCTTTTTCTCTTTCTATTGTACTTTCAAGTTCTTTTTTTCTAAAAGGTGTTATTTTTTCTAAGAGGTATTTTTTAATATCTGTTTCGAGCTTATCAAAGCGCAATTTTCACTCTGGCACCAAAGCCCAGTTTTCATCCTGACACAAAGCCCAATTTCATTCTGGCACCAAAGCCCAATTTACATCCTCGCACCCAAGCTCAATTTTCCACACTAGCACCCAAATAAAAAAATTCCTTAAAAAGAAAAAAAAATAAAAGTTCAAATATCACGAGGTTTGTGCGTCTCTCCATCAAATTTCACGAGGTGCATGCGCCTCTCCATCAAATTTTACGAGCGAAGTTCATAAGGTATGAGACACCCTCCACTGATGTCACGGCTCTTTAGCAAGATCCACAAGGTTGCTACAGTCTCTACCAGGTACGCTTCGAGATAATCTTTTTACTTCTCTTTAGACCAAAAAGAAATTAGTGTTTTTATCTTTATTTGGATTTTACAATGATTACATAAAAGCCCTAAGGCTCATGTTATCTAGAAAAATCTAAATAAAGAGAGGCCTGACAACACCAAATTTTGTCTCGGTAAGTTAATAAAAATAAAAAATTAAAAGAGAAAAATATAAGCAGTAATTAAAATAATATATTGATATAATTTGTTGCATTAGTTTCTTTTTAAAGAGAAAAATATGATTTTTGAAATGGACAAATTTTCTAACAATAATTATAATCAATGTCTTGAATATTATTTGATTTGTTTTTCTTGAAACCTAAGACCATTTCTTTCCCTTTTTTGTTCATTGTCAATTAATTCATTATTAAAGCAAGATTTCCATAATATTACAAGGTGTGTATATAAATACGCATCATGTCATAGAAGAGGGGGACGAAAAAAAAGAGAGAGGGACATGTAGAAATAATAGAAATAGAAAGAGATAAATAGAGTATAGAGGAAAATAAGTTCTTACACATAAGGGTTCTATCAACGACAACCACCAAGGAAGAACTAAGGGAGTATCGAAAGCTAAAAAGGTATGTCACCTCCACACCTTTCTTTTCTCTCTTTTTATTATACTTTTAAGCTTTTTGAATGATATTATTTTTTACTACACACAAATAACGTATATTTTAAAATCATAAATTTTGGAGTATAAGTACTCATTGGCCTATGGCAGGTTTCTTTCATTTTTCCGACCTTTCTTGAAATAAAAACATACAAAATCTTTAAAACCAAAAAAATTTCAATGTTGTCAAACTAAATCCTTGTCGGGTTTACTTTTCAAAAATCTCAAACAATCCATAATAATTTTCAAACAAATTCACAAACTTTTTTCTAGATAAAGAACTACGTGATCCTTGATATACATAGGAGCAAGGTCAATCTTTGTCGGGTTCATAAAATAATAAATATTTTTTTGGTTTCTTCTTGGTTTCTTTATATTATTATTTTTAGGGAAAATTAAATATTTTGAAAAACCACGTCAACTTTATACATTTAATTAAAAGTATTGTTTTTGGGTAGGCAGAGTAGGGTGCTGACACCTTCCTTATATGTAACCGATTCCTGAACCTAAAATCTAGTTTTCGTAGACCATGTCTTATTTTACGATTCTTCATAGTTTTTCGAGAATAAATTGTGGTGGCGACTCCCAAAATCTTTTCTTAAACCCGTTTGTTTTTCGGCTCGCCGTCCCGTCGCGACCCCGATTTTGACACCCTTGGTTGTTTGTGTTTTTGCAATATATTGTTATAGATAATACTGGTGATGCTTAAAGAGAGGAGGCGTACTAGAAATCTTTTGAAAGTTTTGAATGTATTTGGAACAATGTTATTTTAAATTTTAATTTTCGAAAAACATATTTAAGTTTGAATTGAAATAGTTTTTTTTAAGTTCATTGTTTAGTGATGGCATCAAAAGTTGTATTTCTTTAAGTAAATCAAAGTTTTATAAATTACAAGTGGCATCCTAAAAAGCGTGTTATAGTGAGTATCTTGGGTTGTGAGGGAAACTAACTTTGTTGTTTGTTGACTTTGTTTGGTTCTTTCTTAATTTTGTGTATAGATATCATTACTAATGTTAAATTGTGGTTGTTTATGAAGAGTTTTGAAAATTAGCATGTCTTTTGTTTAACTATTCATATGATGTTTTTAACATGCTTTTGAAAAGGTTTGGGTAGAATATAGGAAATTGTGTGGAGTTTTGCTATGTAATTGTGAGTTTTATTGGTTTGTAATTTGGTCTAATGCTTGTGAGTAGCTCCATGGTGTGTTGTGTGAGATTTAGTTAGATATAAGTTGTTTGTTAGGGCTAGGATTGTTTGTAGCTTTATTTAAGGCATGCTTCTTGAGTGGGTGCCTTGAAAGGGTATCTCTTAGTTGGTAGCTCGACGGAGTGGAGGATTCTTAGAGTGTAGAAGCCAGACAATGAATTAATTTCTCTAGGAAGAAAATTTTATGACCTATGTTAAGTTGTGCTTGTTTGTGGAGGGTCTTTGCATTGTTGAAGCCAGATGACAAATGTCTGTATTGAGTAGTGTTTAATACTTGATTCTCGAGTGTCGAGGTTAGAGGAAAAATGTCTCTAGACTGAGAACTTTATGAACTGAGGTTTGCTTGTTAGGATCTTTGGAATGTCAAAGTTAAAGGACAAATGTCTCGTGACGCAGAACTTTATTGATTGGTGTGTAATACTTGACTCTTGAGTATCAAAGTTAGAGGATAGATATCTTTGGACTGAAATTTCTGAGTCAAGACATTGTTATGGTTTGTTATAAAAAGTTATATATGTTTCTAAATGTCGTAGTTTGTAAACATTAAATGAGTTTATTTTTGCTTTGTGATATTAACTCAATCACATCTTTGTGACAATGGTTTTCACATGTGGTGATTATGATTTATCATGGAAGTATTTAATTTTTGAAACAATATTTTAGTATGATATTTTTTTTTTCAATGAAGTGTATATTTGTAAAATAATGATTTTTTATTTATTTATTGAGATTTTTATTAAACTAGAAATGAAGTTTTGTTTTAAATTAAGACTATGCACCATATTAACTTGACAGAGTGATCAACTTTCATTTACCACATGGAACTTAGTGATGTGCCACTAAAGCTTTTAACTTGACAGCCACAAAGACATGAAGTTTGTGTGCACCATAATTAAGGAACCGAATATACACACGCCTCCATGTCCTGTTAAGGAATAGAGAACCCCAAAGCCCCCAAAATCCCACTGCAAAACCAACTCCTGTCCCAAGGTAGAGTGACTCGGTTTCAAAGGCATCATCATTGCTTCCTGCATATTGCATTGACACTTCAACGCTACCACTTCCTTGTGTGCAGTTAATTTGTAGAGGAGCTCCACAAAGCCTAGGGTTCCCAGCAAAGCTAGAAGCATTCAAGCTCTGAAGCTGAGTCCCAACTGGGATTTGTCCAGTGAAATCATTGTATGACATATTCAAGAAGCTCAAGAAAGATATAGAGGAAATGGAACCAGGAATTTCTCCATAAAGTTCGTTGCTAGATAGATCAAGAGATTCCAAGTTCTTCATGCTTCCAATCTCCCTTGATATCTTTCCTGTGAAATGATTTCGTGACAAGTTCAAGGACTGTAACTGAACAAGACTGAAAACTTGTGAAGGGATTTCTCCTGACAAGTTGTTAGATGAAAGATCAAGTGTTCTGAGTAATCCATAGTCTTCATACTGTAGCTCCTGGCCTTTGTTGTACAAATTGAACTCAAACGGGTAATGACTTGTTCTTTGTGCTCCCCCCATGCTAGGAATGTCACTGATGCATGGAGGAATAGGTCCTGAGAGATTGTTGTGGAAAAGATCCAACTGAATCAGTGAAGAGAGATTGCATAGCTGGGTTGGAATGTTTCCTTCAAATTGGTTAGATCCCAGTAGCATCACTTCCATAGCACGTGGCATCTTTGTTGGTACAGTCCCAGAAAAATTGTTCTGTTTGATATTGATGAATTCCAAATTTGTTATGTTCGATAGGTCCAATGAAAAATGGCCAGACAAGCTGTTGTTGTGCAAATCCAGTGCTATGAGATCAATGAATGTAGCCATTGATGGAGGGAGTTCACCTGTTAGCATGTTACTCTCCATGAAAAGGAAAGACAAACCTTTCCAATACTCCCAACAATCAGGAACTCCTCCGGTTAAAAGGTTGAATGATATGTCCAAATAGTCCAAATTGTTTTGACTGCCCAACTTGTGACAGAACAAAGGGGCAATTGGTCCGTAGAAAGAATTGCGGGACAAGTCCAAATAGATAACATTTGCTGATATATGTGGGAGGCCTCCAGTGAAATTATTATGATCCATAAATATGAGCTGTGAGTTGAGTGTGATGTTTGTTAAGTCTGCAGAGATGTTGTTCTTGGAGAGGTTGAGTTGTGTAATATTAGCCACAAACCTCCAAAACTGGTCACCATTTATGGATGAGATACTTGAATTAGGAACCTCTAGATATACTAGTGAGTGTTGTGTGTAAAGCCATTCTGGAAATTTAGGACCTAACTTTGCATTGCTCAAACTAATGCCCTCCAACTGGAAAGGAGGAATCCAGTCAGAAGCCAAGTCGAATGAAAAGGGAGCATTCAACACCAGTGCTTCTAAATTAGAGAGATTGGAAAAATGGTTTTCATGAAGAACACCTGACAAGGATTCACCACCAATGAACAAGCTTTTCAAATTAAAGAGCTGTCCAAGGCTGGTTGGAAGATTACCATTCAATGACCTGGAGCTTATGCTCAAGTCAACTAAGGATGAGAGATTTCCAATTGATGAAGGGATTGAACCAACAAACATGTTATCAGACAAACCAAGATATTGCAAATGTTCATGTTGGCCTAGCCACTCCGGGATCGATCCATTAATTTCATTGTCGTGCAACCTTAAAGATTTAAGGTTTCCAAGGCTCAACAAGCTCTTTGGTAGGCTACCTTTTAGGAAATTGAAGCTGAGGTCGATATTGGAGATGGTGGTGAGGTTGAAAAGCCAGTAGGGCAATTCTGAATCAAAAAGATTCCCAGAGAGGTCAAGAGATAAGAGTGAGGAAAAATTGACAAACTTGATGGATGGACTGATATTGGTAAGATGACAACTTGCCAATCTTAGCTCTAACAGTGATGGATGCAATTGCATTGACTGAAGCCAGTTGGACTCATTTTGAAGATTGATTTCACTAAGGTTGAGATATTTCAAGGAAGAAAGTTGATTAAGCCAGAGGAGATTATCAACATGAAGATCATCATTAAAGGATAAGTCGAGAAACTGGACATCAGAGAAGCTAGCATGAGCATCAAATGGTGCACTTAAACTAGTAAAGCCATTCAAGCTCAAGTCCAAGTAGCTCAAAAATTGAATTTGAAACAAAGACAAGTTGATTTCACCTTCCAAGTATTGTTGCTTTAGATCAAGCCTTGTAACTCTTCCTGTGTTGTTGTCACAGTGGACTCCCTTCCACGAGCAGCAATCTTGTTGAGAGGACCAGGAAGGGAGCTTGTTGGAATGATTCACAACACCAAGTTTGAATATCTGCAATGCGGATCGATCCTTTTCGTTGCAAACAAGATGAAAACTGGTTCCAGAGGCAGCTCTGTGGAACATAGTTGCATATAGCAACCACAGAAGAAAAATTGAAAGTTGTGAGGACATGGCTTGGAAAATGAGAAGATGGTGTTAGTGCTGACTCCTACCACCTTATCTATATAGCGCATGTTGCGTTTCCCCTCTATATACCATATCAATCATGTTCGTGTCATCAAAGTAAGCATGCTGGCAACAAGCATTAATCAGAGGCATCAGGAAACGTTCAACACTAAAACTTTGCGCGTTGATTCTTCAACAGTCTTCGATTGTGTTATTTACTTCAAGTATATTTACTTCAGAAATTTGTTGGTTTTACTACTATTTAAAAGGCGTGGCAAAAATGTATCATGGTCCCTTAAAAATGGGATGGAGTGGGATGGTCCCTGGTAGGAGAACGGACTAAAAATCCTAACTCATTCGGTTAAAATGTGAACTAGTGGGATCTAGTCGGTCAACTTTTTCTTTCTAATTTTTCATTTTTTATTTTTAAAACTTGTTATATATATATATATATATATATATATATATATATATATATTAAAATATTTTTTTAATCAAATAAATTAAAATAGTTACTTTTATATTTTAAATTATTCTATTATAATTAATAATTAGAAATTTGATTTATGTGTTAATGATTTAAGTTATAATAATATTGTATTTTTGAAGTAATATAATACACAAAAATTAATTTTAAAGTTTTTTTTATAACTTTTATTTAAACAATAGAATGGTGGATTTATACACTTCATTACAGGCTTATTTAACGAGTTAGACAAGAGATGTCAAAACAAATTTATTGGTGAAAAACTCTTTTATTATTAAACTAATTATTTTATTAAACAAATTTAATGAGTTAGACAAGACTTAAACTTATTTTAACCCGTTTATTATTAAATTAATTACTATTTCATTCTCTACATCTTCCACTAAATAACATATCTATTTTAACCCATGTTTCAGTAGTAAGAGGGATGATCTCTACAAAACACTTTTTTCACACGATTCATATTAGGTTATCTTAAACACTTTATTTAACTTTCTTTTTCGTTCTCGATACCTGAATTCCAAATTATTGATAGGGGACCTTCAACTTCCTTATATATCTTGGTTTTTAATGATGAATAAAAGAATGATTTTTTGGTTTCTTGCACAACAAATGACATAACAATTGCTTTATTTATATCTTGTGTGTGCTTGATATGAGAATTCATTTATATTAAATAAATCATGTATTAAACTGATTAATAATCTTATTTTTGGATAAAATAATCGATTTAACATAGTATATAATCTGTTAGATTTCACCAGTTCACTTTGTATGCTTAATAGGGGAAAACTGCTTTGTAGTAATCTATTACATAAGTTGTCTAATTGATTAAAATAGAAAGCAATGTCATGATTTGTTGCATAAGTGGGTTAATCTGTTTAAAAAGGAAATTGGCTTAGAAATTTGCTTAAGTACACGATTAATCGATTACATAAGTTGTCTAATCGATTAAAACAATTTACTTTGTTTAATCAGTTCATTTAATAGAGTGATTTGTTATAACTATCATTTGAATTTATAATTGACTTATGTGATATTATAATCAATTATATGCTCAGGATAATCCATTAAAACATAAGAAAAAAAATGTTAAAACAGAACCAAAACCTTAATAGATTACATAAAAACCTTAATCCATTATAATGCGTCATGATTCAACAAATCCTATATATATATGTGTCTTGAGTTCTGTTTCAAAAAAATCAATTGCTATCGTTTTCAAATACTAACGTTTACATTGTGTTTTGAATACAGGAGCGTTCAAGAAAAGATCTTAGAGAATCAAGGCTACATTGGTTGCTTATACATCAAGATTCTTTGAAGAAAGTGGGCTAAAAACTGTTCTGATTTAGTCTACACCAAGAGGAGTGTGACTTGAAGATCAAAATCATCACAAACATTATGTATTTCTGTACTTGTGAGGTGTGGCCAGGTGTTGAGAGTTGTGAGTGTTCTCAAGTGTTGTAAAAGAGTGGGGTTATTCATCTCTTGTATTGCTATATTGATTTTTAGTGTGGAGAGAAGTGCATTGAGAGGGTTATCTCTCTATTTCTGTAAACTCAATCAAATTTTAGTGGAATCCCTTCAACTAAGGTTGTTGAAGGAGGACTGGATGTAGGCTTGGGATTAGCCGAACCAGTATATATTGTTTATGTTGATCTTTCTCTATATTCTTTCTCTTTTATTGTTGATTCTTCACTTATTGTTTATTAATTTCATGAAAGCCAAAGATTTCACAAAGATTTTGAAAAGAATAATTTTTAAGACTTAATCCAATTCATCCCACTCTTGGCTTGAGATATAAGGCATTTTTCTTTTCTTATAATTGGCACCAGAGATGGAATTTGAAAATTACTTGATTTTTAATCGATTACCTTCGTTGCTTAATCGATTACCTTTGTTGCTTAATCGATTAAATCGATCCTGATGACCAATATATCTCAAACCTTTGGAGAAGGTGCATCCACAAATAGACCATCATTATTTGTGCGTGAAAATTACCCTTTTCGGAAAATAAGGATGAAATTTTCTTGGAATCAGTTGACAAAGGTGTTTGGGATGTTGTGATCAATGACCCCTTTGAACCAACAAAAATTGAGAATGGTAAGACAAAGGAAAAAGACTTCTCTAGGTGGAATGAAAATGAAAACACAAGCCTTATAGTGCCAACCCCAAACATACACAACCTAGAACGAATCCTAAATATTAAGAAAAACTTAGGTTCTTAGGACATAGCAAACATCTACGTCAAAACATCCAGACCCATGGTAAAACACTATTTGTTTAAAAAGAGACAAAAGTTAAAGAAGTGTTTACTTGACTAAACGATACCATGAACTTAACAAGTACTTAATCTTATGATGAAGTGTTATATATATATATATATATATATATATACACACACACACACACACACACACATGTTTGGTATCTTCAGAAAAGAACTTAATTTCAAAATGCTACCTAACAGTAGAAATTCAATAAAACACTTTGTTGTTTTGAGCAAGTATTAAATGACATTAAATGCTAAACGTTCAAAAACAACAAAAGTGATAAAAAAAATATGTATTTGCAGCATGCATAATTTACTCTAATCTTGTAGATAAGTTATTCTACATGCATCCACAATGTTATAGATCAAATATCAAAAAGTGGACGTTAGAGATAAAGGTGATATTCACATATTGTTCCTCACTTGAAGTAAAGTTTAAAAAGATCGTACAACCTACTTCAGGAAAAGGACTGAAAAAGTATGCTTGCTTTGACAAGTTGACTTACCCAACACATGTTGTGCAAAGAAGAAAGAGAAAGCACGAGTATCAAGGCTAGAAGCTTAGTCTAACGGACAAAACATTATGGAACTTATAAATAGAAGATCTCTCAAGAAGAAAATCAAGACGATAGCTTAAGAGGATAACATAGTGAAGAAAAGCTTACAACAAAATCCAATGAAGCAAAAGAGAAAGATCTCAAGAAAAAAAAATATCTAAGCTTAAGATAAGAGAAGACAAGAGAAAAAGAGAAAGAGATACTCTCGCACTTCATTGTCATATTGCTTACTATTGTAAGAGAGAAGAGAGAAACATCTACGAGTGTTTACACTGCTTTGTATTGTAATCAAATCCTCTCTACGAGAGATATAGTCTGAACTACTTGTAAGCAATCGTTCATTGTATTTCTAAAGAGAATTAAAATACTTACAACTGAACTCTATTTGAGTTGAGGAATCATGGCAAGGCTGCTAAGTACTAGGAGTGGTTCGAATACTCAAAGGAAATATCGGCTAAGGTTGTTGAGTACCAGGAGCGATGCGAATACTCAAAAAAAATGTCAGCGGGGTTGCTGAGTACCGAAAATGGTGCTAATACTCAAAGGAAATCTCGGCGGGGTTGCTGAGTACCAAGAGTGGTACTAATACTAATTTGTAATCGTGTGAAGATTATAGTGGAACCCTCTGTGAGACTGAACATAGCTCAGTTGGAGCGAACCAGTATAAAATCTCTTATGCAATTATCTCTTCTCTTACCTAAATGATCCTCTTGTGAAAATCTAGAATCCTGCTTTATTTCTAAACATAAGAATCTTCCAACCGAAACAATCTTTTTCATAAAGTAAGTTCTTAACAAAATGTTGTAGTATTTACACTTTGAATAAAACAATAAAAGTTGTTATTAAATAAATCTATTGATTTGAGCTCCTAATCATTTAAAGGAAAATTTCAAGAGCTTGATAACGTGCTATATCAGAAGTGTTGCGAAAATTTTTCCATTAACACTATTCAACCCCCCCCCCCCTTATAGTGTTTTTCAAGTACTACAGCTCCTTCAACATAAGATTATCTCCTTGATAAGTTGATGAAGCTTCTTCAAAGAGGTGGACTCCATGATAATCAATGAAGGTAGCAGAAGCAAATAGAGATGAAGAGATGAAGATGTTGGTCTTGTATGATCTTGGTAGATGTCCTTCTATGAGGTTAGGCCAACCGTGAAGGAGAAGGTACGAAGAAGTCTAGAAGAAGACAATTTCATAAGAGAAGAGAAGTCTTGCAATTTTGGCAAAAAGACTTTACAAAAGGGTGCCTTCCTTTTATAGGTGAAGGAGAAGCCTAAATTACATGGAGTATTTAGGAGCCTTTCCATCATTTAATGAGGAGCCTCATCTTTAAATTAGGGCCTAAGCACTATATGAGGAGCTTAAACATTAAATATGAGGAGCCTTATACTTTGTAACTAACTTAGTCAAAACATTTATCTTAAAGGCTCCTTGCAACTAACTCCTTCCAAACCCATTTTTAACCCATTTTTAACCCATTTATAACCCATTTTAGGTGATACCTTCTAACTAAGGACCTAATGATGCGCTAACTCTCTCTTAAAGCCACCAAGCCTTCTAAGCAAAGCTAACCAAAGTGTCTTGGCAAAATACAAGGCCTATAAATGAGCTATATTACATATTTAAAAAAAGTGTTTTAAGATAAAGATGAAGACTAAAATGTGATCGTCAACAAGAGTAGAATCCTTGAAGCTCCATCTTCTTCTTCCATCTTCTTTGACCATGGCTAGAGGTCCAATATCTTCTAAGGCAGAAGGGAAAACAAGAACAAACTTGAAAGTCCTTCTTCTTCCAAAATCCCAGCCTTAGCTTAAGTTGATGCTCCCTTCATGGATCTCCATTTAGTTCCCAAAACGGATTCCATCATACCCTTCCTCTTGAAAATGATTTGTCCTTAGATAGGAAATATATTTGAGGAAGCACAAAGAAATGTACCTACAAAAAATAGCAAATACGAGTATTATTA